ACTCGACCTCTCAGCGGCCTTCGATACCGTCGACCACGGTATCCTTCTGGGACGCCTCGCGGGAATGGGTCTCGGAGGTACTGCTTTGCAGTGGCTCCAGTCATTCCTCGAGGGTCGGTCTCAGAAGGTGTTACTGGGGGACTCCTGCTCTACCCCACAACCGTTGCATTGTGGGGTTCCTCAGGGTTCAATACTGTCCCCCATGTTGTTTAACATCTACATGAAGCCGCTGGGCGAGATCATCCGGAGTTTCGGGGTGCGGTGTCATCTGTACGCAGATGATGTCCAACTCTGTCACTCCTTCCCACCTGCTACTAAGGAGGCTGTCGAGGTCCTGAACCGGTGCTGGCCGCTGTGACGGTCTGGATGAGGGCGAACAAATTGAAATTGAATCCAGACAAGACAGAGGTACTCCTGGTCAGTCGTAAGGCTGAACAGGGTATAGGGTTACAGCCTGTGTTAGACGGGGTTGCACTCCCCCTGAAGACGCAGGTTCGCAGTTTGGGTGTGATCCTGGATTCATCGCTGAGCGTGGAACCCCAGGTTTCGGCGGTGACCAGGGGAGCATTCGCACAGTTAAAACTTGTGCGCCAACTGCGCGTACCTTGGGAAGTCTGACTTGGCCACGGTAGTCCACGCTCTGGTTACATCCCGCCTTGACTACTGCAACGCTCTCTACGTGGGGTTGCCTTTGAAGACGGCTCGGAAGCTCCAACTAGTCCAACGGGCGGCAGCCATGGTACTAACAGGAGCAGGGCGCAGGGAGCATACAACTCCTCTGCTGTACCAGCTCCACTGGCTGCCGATTAGCTTCCGGACCCAATTCAAAGTGCTGGCATTGGCCTTTAAAGCCCTAAACGGTTCTGGCCCAACATATCTATCCGAACGTATCTCAGCCTATCAGCCCACCAGGACCCTAAGATCTTCTGGAGAGTCCCTGCTCTCTGTCCCTCCGGCTTCAGAAGTGCGGCTGGCGGGAACGAGAGACAGGGCCTTCTCTGTGGTGGCCCCTCGGCTTTGGAATGCCCTCCCTATAGAGATAAGATCAGCTCCCTCGCTGTTGGTATTTCGAAAAAAACTTAAGACATGGATGTTTGAACAAGCATTCGGGTAATCCGGTGCGATGAAGTTGATGACTAAGGACTGGTAATTATAGACGATGAATTCGGATTATGATTTTAACTAAGAGATGCATTGGTCTGTATTGGTGGCCCGATACTGTGTATTGTATATGTTTTTTATGCTTTTAATTGATTATTGTTGTTTTTAAGTACTGTTAACCGCAATGAGTCGCCGTTGTAGGCTGAGATATTGCGGTATATAAGTATACAAATAAAAAAAATAAATAAAACAAACACCACTCATATAGACCCTTCTGGAAGTCAACCTTGATATCACACAGAGCTATCAGTCTATTTTCCCTATGTTTCGTGTAGGGCAATGTGTTGTCTCATTGCTGAAGTCATTAAAGTCAGTTAAGCTGAACTTTCCTTCCACTATACTTATTTGCAAGCGTACCATGAAACAGATATAGCAAGAAACAACCCTTATAATGGTCTACACAGGAGGCCCTTTTATTCCCAAGACACTGCTGTGCTAATATTTCTTTTTCCCCACACACAATTGCTTCTCAGTGGGCACACATAGAGGAATATTTATTTATAGAAAAATGAATATTTTGTCCTTCTGGAGCATAGTGAGAGCGGCAAACAACAACTGAAACTAGTAAAATTACTGAAGATGTAATATCATAAACAAGCACATGCCTAAGCAAGAAAGTATTTAAAATACAGTGAAATGTTATCCAAGATTCACCCCCCAGAGAGAAGAGCATCTCAATCTAATTTTAGAGCACAGTCTGGCTGGTATGGAACAGGGTGCAATATAGTATCGTTTATACTTTTCTTGTAATAAGATCTAATCCATGCCTTACATCGTTTGACCCTTTCCCAGGGGTTGCTTCTGCAGCCTCAAGGTCACACACTCCAATGCTGGAAGAAGATGGACATTTCCTGCCTTGCTTTCTTCCCCCATAAGAAGGGAGGTGGGCCTGGCAAGGTGCCAGCCTGCACACCCTCCCTCAGGTTCAATCCCCTCCACACCCATCTCTGTAACAGCAGAGGGCACAGGGAGATTTATCAGGTAGGGGGCGGCGGGCCCGGCCTATCTCCTCTTTCTTTGTTGGGAGGCGTTATTTCATGCCTGGAAATCCCCTGTTTTCTGAGTGTTCCTCTTTAAAGTCCTGAGTTTTTAAATACTGGTAGCCAGATTTTGTTCATGTTCCTGGTTTCGTCCTTTCCGATGAAATGGTCCACATGCTTGTGGATTTCAATAGCTTCTCTGTGTCGTCTGACATGGTGGTTGCTAGAGTGGTCCAGTATTTCTGTGCTCTTAAATAATATGCTGTAAATAAAGAACAACACTTAAAAACGGGAAATCCAGACAAAAATCAATCAGGGGCAGCTAATCAACTTCCAACAAAGGATTCCCCCGGGCAGGAAGCAGCCAGGCTTTGAAGCTGCAAGGATATTCAATGCTAGTCAATTGCAACATTCACACCGACAGACAAAAGTTCTTTCTTCCATCCTGGACATTCCACAGATATATAAATCCCATTTACCTAGTTTCCAACAAACCTCACAACCTCTGAGGATGCCTGCCACAGATGTGGGTGAAACATCAGGACAGAATGCTTCTGGAACAAGGCCATACAGCCCAGCAACCCGGTAATTCCGGCCATAAAAGTCTTCAACAACACATTATTATTATCATCATCATCCTGCATATTAGATAGAATCATAGAGTTGGAAGAGACCTCGTGGGCCATCCAGTCCAACCCCCTGCCTAGAAGCAGGAAAATCACATTCAAAGCACCCCCGACTGATGGCCATCCAGCCTCTGTTTAAAAGCCTCCAAAGAAGGAGCCTCCACCACACTCTGGGGCAGAGAGTTCCACTGCTGAACAGCTGTCATGGTCAGAACGTTCTTCCTAATGTTCAGGTGGAATCTCCTTTCCTGTAGTTTGAAGCCATTGTTCTATTTAAAGCAGCCAGGTATTCCTGAACGACTTGTTTCCCTATTTGGGGTTCGATTTCCCCTATTCCTTTATCCATTCCATGTTGCTGAGGTTGAGGATGGCTTTCTTTTTGTGAGAAGACTGAGGCAAAGAAGACATTAAGTAGTTCTGACTTTTCTCTATCCCCTGCAACATTTCCCCATTTTCTCCTTGTAGGCCCTATTGCCTTTTTGTTCTTCCTTTTTATTGTTTTTAATGTCCCTGGCAAGCCTGAGCTTGATATTTACATTACAATTCATAACAGTAGCAAAATTATATTTATGAAATAGCAACAAAAATAATTTAATGGTTGGGGGTCACCACAACATGAGGAACTGTATTATGGGGTCGTGGCATTAGTAAGATTGAGAACTACTGCCTTACATGATTTCAGTGGTACAGGCAAGTCTCTATCAATGCAAGTAAAAAATATTCCGTGCCATCATAACTGCTCTAAATAGTTCACAAATTTCTCTGTATCTCCATTAGACATAATACACTTCCTTGATTGCAGCCTCAGAATCTAAATTTCCATATACTCATAATGAAATATAATTTGAAAGCCATACACAAAACAGACATTCTTACTTATACATGAATGGATTTTAATGAAATAATGATTTATTATAATTTTATGATACATGAAGAAATAATCTTACTGCACTAAGGCTGGCTGGGAATGTTAGAAATAACATTACTTTAAATGTATTTAAGTATTAATATTTACACTGTGTCCTGGGAAAGCAGGGAAAATGATGTATAACTAAAGAGCAGAAGCAGAATTGTTATTTGTTCTGGCTCCACAGTCTACTGAATGAAGTCTTGGACCATCGGTAATTTGGATTCCCAGAAATCCTACCACTTCTTAAACTGCAGTTGTTTTCTCTTCCTAAAGATGCTGGATCTCAATGTGCAGGTTTTGATACATTATAAAGTATTCCCTCTTTTTGTATTTTAATTCTGCTGTCCCAGGGATTGCTACATCCATTTATTGTTGCTGTTGCTCTTAGCCTAAAAATTCTAAAGCCATCGGATACTGTTGATTTTGGAAGCTAGGCAGAGTCAGCCCTGGTTATACTTGGTGAAGAGTCCACAAATGAATAGCAGATTTGTGTTGTTGTGTCCTTTAAAGATGTTTCTGACTTCTGATGGCCCGAAGGTGAACCTATCATGGGCTTTGGGGGGCAAGATTTGTTCAGAGGGGATATCTGTCTTTACTTTCCTCTGAAACCGAGATAATGTGACTTGCCCAAAGTCATCTAATGGGGTTTCCATGGTCTCCAGAATCCTAGTCCAAAGCTCAAACATATACAATATACACACTAGGTCCTGTAGGCTATATTTCAAAGGAAATAACTGGCAAAACCACTTCTGAGTCTTCCTTGCTTAAGAAAACCCGCATAATACATGGAGTGGTCAGGTGAATTGAAAGTACACATAGTCAAATGAGTTGTTGTTCTCGCTGCTGTTGTTGTTTCCCACTGTTCTACACAAATAGACTCCAATTCCCACTTTGAGCACCTTATGGAAACCATGCCGTCTCATGAGCTAAAGAAGAGGTGACCCCGGTGGCACAATGGGTTAAAACCTTGTGCCAGCAGGACTGCTGACTAAAAGGTCAGCAGTTCAAATCCAGGGAGCAGAATGAGCTCCCATCTATCAGCTCCAACTTCCCTTGCGGGAACTTGAGAAAAGCTTCCCACAGGATGGTAAATCATCCTGACGTCTCCTGGGCAACGTTCTTGCAGACGGCCAATTCTCTCACACCAGAAGAAACTTGTTTCTCAAGCTGCTCCTGACACGAAAGTAAGATTGGAATGCTACTTTGGGATTGCACCCATGAACTGAAGCCTTGGTGCCAGGGGACAGCATTGTGCCAGCAGATGGCATCATTTGTCACCAACCAAGAGTCCTACTCTCACACTGCAGTTTGTCATTCTCATCTCTTGAATCTGGCAGATCTGCAAATGAAGCTACAAATTTTTCACCAGGAAACCTCATATGAAAACATTCTAGCCAGTCGGGCAAAGGTGAGTAAGATCCACATCGAAGATGCACAGCAAACACCTTGGGTTGTACTGCTGTCTTCCTAAAGTTCCAAGTGCTAATATTATGACAGCTGACCAATATTGAAAGGGGGGGGGGGAACGGTTTATGGTCATGAAAAGTGACTGCCTGGTTAAAATGTTCATCTATCTTTATCTCTTCATGGATTTTGAATCTGCAAAACCAGAGTGCTGGATATAGTGTTATCTGGTTTTCCATATAGCAATAAGTGACAGTCATGCAGAGCTGACAGCTAGGAAAGAGCTATTAATAAGCGTTTGATCTACATAAATACCAAATGAAAGTATATACACTTCAGCTAGCCATGTGTTTCTCTGTTAAATTTACAAATCACCTACATTCATAAATTATATGAGATAAATATTTTTGGATTTTTCGGCATTTTTCAGTGTATGTAAAAGGTAAAGCTTCCTGACCTTCAAATGAGGACATCTCTTACAATTAGAGATAGCTGAAAGTCCTATAAGGGACAAGCTTTTCAATCCTCATATGACAACTATACCTTATAATAAGGAATACCTAACAACCCTCACTGGATAGGAAGCAGGGTTTTGTTTTTTTAAAAAAACTTATAATTATAACTCAAATTATAACACACTGGCAAACAGACAGGGGAACCTTTTCCATTGTGGATTCAATATTACAGTTTTGTTTTTGTTACTATCATGTTTGATTATATAATTAAACCTTTATAACAAATAAATCTCGGGGTTTGCATTGTATTAAATTCTATTTCTTTTTAAAGGAATTTGGAGTTTTTTTATTGATTGCAAAGGGATAAGCTTGCTTTTCTATTCACATTTTGAATTCAGAACTATGAAAGTAAGAATAATGCAATAATTATAATTTGTTGTTTTAAGGAAAGGGTTTCTCAACCTAGGAGTAGGGAGGGAGCAGAAAACACATATTTCTGATGGTCTTAGGAATCCCTTTGGCAGAGATGGCTGAAGAGCTCTCCGCCTGTTTTTCTCTTCCTTTTTGGAAACAGAAGGTGAACCCCCGCACCAAAAGCCCTTCTCTGCTGAGATTAACTGGCCTCTAAGCCAAGGGGAGGGCTGTTTCTTAGACTTCAAGTGGGGGAAGGGAGAGCAGGTATGCTCCATGCATGACAGCATGGGCCACATGAGCAGACAAGGGAGAGCATGCAAGGTTGGTGGGAGGCTCATACCAGTGAGTCCCTTCAAGGCATGGGGGTTCTGTGTGGGAAGCTTGGCCCAATTCTATTGTTGGTGGGGTTCAGAATGCTCTTTGATTGTAGGTGAACTATGAATCCCAGGAACTACAACTCCCAAATGTCAAGGTCTATTTTCCCCAAACTGCAAGATAATTTCTGTAATGTTGGTATCTTTGAAAAGTTACCTTAGATATGTGCAGGCAGTGGCTGAACACAGACTTTGCATACAAAAGGTTTCATGTTATACTTCTCTAAGTAGTATCTCCGAGTAAATATAGGAAAGGATCCTGTCTCAAATCCTGGAGTGATTATTCCAGTCTGTGCCAGTAGCACTAAGTTAGATAAACCTGTGGTTTTGACTATAAAGGGCAATCATGCTTTTATCAAATAAGCAACCACAATTAGTTCCTGTTTACCTAGGATTAGAGATAAAGGTACTAATAATTTAAAAATTGTAATTTCATTGATATGCTTCATTCACGATAAACTGCCTCCTCCTTGCCAATACTGGCTTTAAAAAATCTCTGAATACACTCCACATCAAAAAAATCTGTCCTGGAAAATTAGTAATTAAAGTGTAGTACATCAACAATTATACTGAACACAATGCCCTACGGGGCTATTAATGGCAGAACAAAACAGGTCACTTGATGTCCCATTGCTTTGTTTTGTCTAAACCAGTGGTTCCAGCCTTTGGTCCTCTAGGTGTTTTGGACTTCACCTCCCAAAATTTCTAATAGCTAGTAAGGTGGCTGGGATTTCTGGAAGTTGAAGTCCAAAACAACTGGAGGACCAAAGGTTGAAGACCACTGCTCTAGACTACTTCGACGTTGACAACTCAAGTCCCATCTATACTGCTACATAATAAAGTTTTATAGTACAGTTTAACTGTATTGAACTGCATTATATGAGTCTATACTGCCATGTAATGCGGCTCCCCAGATTCAAACCGCCAACCTTTCAGTCAGCAAGTTCAGCAGCTCAGTGGTTTAACCTGCTGCACTACCATGGGGCCCAATATCTATGCTGAATTACTATTGCATTGACACAGTTTTCTTGCAACTCAGTGTACATCAGCAGCCACCAATTTGTGGACTGTGATTGTAAGTACCTCTAGTATGGATGCTCTTCTCACCCAAATTGCCTTTTCACACTACATAGTGGCAGTGCTATGCTTCCATTTTAACTGCCATGGCAATGTTCTATAAAATGCTGGGATTTGCATTTTAGGAATGAGGATTTAGCATTCTCAGCCAAAGAGGATTTTTATGGCTTCTAAAATGGAATTTGGTGCTATAATCCTGTATTGTGAATAGGATTTCACGTCCTCTTTCACTTCACAAATCTGTTTTTTTGGATATGTCTGGCTCTATCAGCCCCAAACCACCTCACTTTGTTTCCCCAAATGGATGTCATGTTAATTTCCTGGCATCTCCAGGGTCTTTGTCTCTTTTTAAAAAATAAATAAATAGTCTTTGCTAATTGTTTCAGCCAACAACTTCCATATACATCCAGCGCTTAGCAGCCATAAGTGACAGTCTAGGATATCACAGAGGAGCAGAACAAAGCAAGCCATATGTTCATGAGCTGGAAATAAGGCAAGGAAGGAACTGAAAAGAGAAACAGCAGCCTTGGCAAGAATTTCTGAGTGGCTTGTAAACATGCAGCTCAAGCGGATGTGTATCATAAAGCAGATGGCTCTTTGCATTAATAGTGAGCCTTAATGTGCAAATTCAGTGTTCTCAGAAACCCTAGATCCAAGTCACCTTTCCTTTAACTTCCTCTTGACCCTTTTCTGTGGCACACTTTCTCCAGTTATCTTCTTTTCCAAACAAACTGTGCTTCCCCTTGATTTGTGTCCAAAAATATTCTGGTTTTGATCTTTGTGAGCAACAAACATCCCCCTCCACACATACGTACACACACACACAGGAGTTGTGTTATCTTTTCTGCTTTCCTTGGCTTTCCTAACACTTGGAACACTGTTTTGAGATTAAATACTGAGTCAGAATTCCACACATTTGGTTCCTGCTGAGACACACGGAAGTCCCTGATAGCATTCATTAGGGCTCCATAATCACTGTGGCTAAGAACAAAAGAAAGAAAGAAGCATTCACACTCAAAGATCCTGGGTGGATTATGAGTATATGGCCGCCATAGGCAAACTTCAGCCCTCCAGGTGGGAGTTGAAGTCCAAAACACCTGGCAGGCCGAAGTTTTCCCATGCCTGGTATATGGCAAGAAAACTAGAGATAGGTGACAGAAAGCTAGAGATAGGTGACAGCTTTTCTACAATCACCAACTCCATTGAGCTACAAGGAAGACCTTTCACATTACACAACTACACAACTGTGATCCCACTGTAACTTTCATAAGTACATCTGTGCTGGTACAGCTGTACCAGGAGCTCCAACTTCCTTTTCTTTCGTTGAGTATTTGCATGTATTCCAAAGTTCCATGCATTTTGCAATAAGGTGGCTTCCCTTGGTTTGCAGCCACCTGCCTATCATCGTTGAGTTTTTTAGTTCCGCCCCTTTCCCCAGGGTTCAGGAAGGAAAGGGAGCCATTTTAGCTCAGTCTTACAGTTGAAAACTTAGCTACAGGACGTGAATCAGCTCCACCTGTAGATAAGCTTCGTTTCTTATGAAATTCCAGGGGGAAACAGTTCCAAAGGACTCCAGCTGGAGAATCTACAAAGCCTTGACTGGTAGGTCTACTTGGGACCCAAGAAGCAGTTTGGAGCCGGGAGTAGAGCCCACACCAGCAAAGTTTAGAAAGTAGATTACCCAAGGAGGGGTTAAAAAGGGTTTTCCTCTTAAAGAAAAGAAACAGTTCACAAAGCCAGTTGCCTGTCCCTTGTGGACAAGATTAAGAAAGCTGCCAGTTGATTCAAAGCCTTGAAGTATTTGTTTGACCTGTTGAAAATCTGAGAAGCATTTGATTGTTTTGTTGAAGACCTAAGCAATAATAAAGGACTTTGTTAAATTTTTCAAGCTTTTAAAGACTTTGTATAGGAAAATCCTTAGGGCCTCTCAGCTGAGGCACCCCGGCTTCCCGCTGGGCACAAAGAGCAGGTCCTCTTCAAAAGCCAATTGCTATAGGCCCAGCGCGTGACAGCACAACATCATATATAATTCTATGGTTTTGTTTTCGCTGTGTTTTGCCAGAGAATTCAAAATGCCCTAAATTGAAAATTCTACGATTCCATAAGATGGGATCATAGCAAGTAAAATGAAATTACTATATGTGTATGCTGCATGGAGTGAAAGGACCCATGCAAGGAATTCTTTCTGCTGCTTCTATCTTAGTAAAGCAAGGGACAGAATGACCCAAATGCTAGGGAATGAATAGCAGTGAAGATTTTCAAGTTTAAAATAGGATGCTATTCTAAAATGTAGCTCAAGTCGCAGTGGTTTGCAATAATTTTAGAATATACACCCCTTAATGGACTCTCCCTTTCATGGTTAGAATTATTGTTCTCTATGCACAAAAATAATAATTGGAGTGAGAGCTATTTGGAAAGTGCATAGAAAGCTTTTCCAGCCAAGCCATCTGAAAGCATTACTTTTTCACTACCTTTTCATGTCTATGATGGTAAGGTGAGTGTCTTTAGCAGGAAAGAAACATATATGTGTGTCTAAGATATTAGAAAAGCCTGTATGACTCCACAAGTAATATTAACAGGCAAACTAGAATAAAATCCCTGTGTTTTCAAAGGGTGAAACACAGTGATTATATTTCATTATAATGGCCTTACAAGCATAAACTAAATGATCTATTAGTAACAGAGCCTAGCTGTCGTTTCAAGTGTAGGGAGAAAGGGGTGGGTGTCCTGTGACTGGGAGATTAATCACTAGGAAATATTAAGAGATTATGAAGAGAGATTAAAAGATTAAAGGGAAAGCAGAAAGAAATCTAAATATATATATTGTGCCCAGATGACAATATATAGAAGAGGGAAATAAATTTTCTGGGCACATAAATCACATGGGCTATACAAACTAAGGAGTATTAACTATACAAAATACTAACGGCTATTACATAGAAATACAAGGAGTAATCACTCATTTATATGCCTGAATGGAGTGTGACACATTAATGACCCATTGAGTTAAGCATTGGATATTATTATTAGCTCCCCTTCAGTATACTTAGCAATTATATTTGAAGGGAGACATTGAGGGAGAGCCAAAGTCCCCTTCCAGCTGACCAAAGTAAGTACTTTAACATGGGGAGGTGAGACATACAAGCCCAGCATGAAGTCAAAATCATGTATCACATTTCTATAGAGAAAGGTAAGAACAAGAACTTCTTTCAATGCCATTCTGATCTCTAATGCTTTTTCTAGTTATCAGAGTTACATAAGGGATTAGACTGCACTTCTCCTCATATTGTGGTGAGCATATGCATGGAGGACAAATTGTGGCTCATGGGAATGTTGTTGGTGCAGCTCATGGTCTTAGTGGAAAGAACTCACACCAAAATGAAGAAATGACCACCATGACCACCCAGCCATGAACTGCCCTTACAGTTCACATCAAAATTTGCAAACTTCTACATGGGAAGAACAAAAAGAACATTAAGACATCATGCTAAGTTTGTGAGGGTTGGTAAATGTGTATAAGCACAATAAGTGGAAGCTTTACTACAGTATTTAAATCATGGTATATCCTGCTGTATAATAAAATGTCACTCAGGCTTGTGAAACAAATAACAGTATCTTTACTTTGGTTCAAAGTTTCAAACAGGGTAATAATGTATTCATCAGTCTCTTTGAATACAGGCAGGGAACAGAGGAATAAAATAGTCTTTTTAAATAGTCTTTAAAATAAACCTTAAGCCATAAAATGATCACTCCTTAAGATAGTTAGCAGCCAGCAATCTCTTCACTGTCCAAAGAGAGAACAAATGGCAGAATGACAGTTAGAACCGTTAGTCTCAGCAGCCAGCCAGATTCAGCAGCCAATCAGAACCTTGGCTCCTGGCACACCCAGTCAATCGGCTGCTGGCACATCTCTCTCCAGACGACCCACCATATCATGGTGTCCCTTTTCAAATCCTAACAAAGTTAACCATACATTTTATGTCATTAATTATGTAAAATGTCTATTTGGTCTGGACGCAGTAATTTGACTTGATTAGTGAGCCCTGACATACCATATGTCCTTAATGAATATATTTTCTGGATAAATGAACTACATGTACTCTATACACATCTTTAATGTGTTGTTAGCATGCATTACTGTTGCTTGTCCATTTGACTGAGTATACACATACAGCTTCCCAACATATGTGTCGAAATTGGCATCACATGTGTGCTCTGGACAATAAACAAGGTGCTTTCCCACATATACTTATTAGCCATTATTTATTTGTTTGCGTGGAAGCTGCTTCTAGTACGTTGTGCTATGGAATCCATGCAACTGGATGTTGTTGCAGGGTTAACTCTGGTTAGTCTTTAAATGAAAGTGCCAAAAAATGCAAGGTCCTGTAGGCTATATTTTAGAGCAGTGGTTCCCACCAGTGGTCCGCAAGAACTGAAATAGGGTCTATGGCATCACTGTTACTATACCATTGCAACCAGAGCAACCCTCACAAAAACCCCTTATAGTGCTGAGGCTTATTAAATATGGTTTTCTGTGGGCGAGCAGATGGCAACTACTGGATAGCATGTGTTCTGTACCAGAAGCTAGAGCTGATGTGGTCTATCCAATGCAATTTTCTGAATTAGTGCCCCAAATAACGAAACCAAATGTAAAGTTGACCAAAAACTGATTCGTAACTCTTTTGGTACTAATGTTGGAGAGTGGTCCCTCTTCAAAGTGGTCCCCAGTCAAAAAAAAAAAAGGTTGGGATTGGGAACCACTGGCAAAAATCTTTGCATAAAAAAATCTGATGAAGTTCAAGGGACTACCATAAATTGCCAGGCAACTTCAAGGCACGGGGGGGGGGGGGGGGGGGGGGGACGGACAAAAAACAGGAAGCAAAAGTTACAAAATATAATGAAACATCCTGAAAAAGTTTTTTAAAAAGAAAAGAATAATTTATTTTAAGACTGTGACAGTCCAGTGACTAAGAGGAAGGATATCCCAGAACTGCTGCTTTGAGATGAATATATATGCACAAACATATGGCATCTTAATATCATGGGACAAATTCAAGCATTAAAAATGAAATTATGTTTCTAAGGTTCCCTGGCCTAAAATTATCCACTTGATGGAAATATTAAAATAACAACAATCAACAACATAAATAATATAAGTAATAGGAATAATTTATATCTTCCTCTCTTTGGCCTTCTTGTTTAGAATGGAATGATCCTGGCTGGTTTTGAAGATGCAAATGGAACCACATGGCTATCAATCTTGCAGCAGTATTATTTCAAAAACATATTTCCAGACCATCAAAAGTTTATGATGCAACCAACAAGCCTGTCACTAAACTGGAGGTAAAAACAGTTTGCATTCATTCATTCAAAATGTAAAAAAATCTTATGGGAAATTTAGATCCACCATATTCCCAGATTTCCAGCTTTGCAAAGATATCTACAGAAGCATGGCTCAAGGACCAGCTCAACCTGCCTAAATAGGACATAAAAGAGGAAGAGAATTTATGGGTTGAATTGGATGGGACAGTTATTATATGAATGCACTAAACATGCATTTAAAAAAAATGTAAATAGCCACTGTTGTTCCAGACAGTATGTGAGGGAAAGAGTGATCTTAAATTTCTCCATTTCTCAGTGAGTCTGAGGGGGAAATCCTTCTCTCCCCATCATCCCATGTAATCAAGAAGGAAGTGTGAATTGGTCCAAGAGTCTTTGGTTTTAAGAGCATGCATCCACATTTCTAGTCCTTGAAAATGTAAAGCATGAGTTACAATATGTAGAGCTCCAGAGGCTGTTTTGGTCTACAGCTTCCATTAGCTCTTGCAATCCAGGCAAAGGATGATGGAAGCAACAATCCACAAATATCTGGAAAGTCACAGTTTCCCATTCCTGCTTCATTGGCATGACTGAATGACTATGTACTTAGCATACCCATGTTGCCAATACTGTAAACTGCCTTGAGTCCCTTTCGGGGTTGTGAAGGGTGATATAAAAATACCGCAAATAAATAATAAATAATAAAAGGTGAAGAAACCAAAATGAAATTACACATACGGCAATTTAATAATTTTGTAGTAGGAAGCAGCTTTTCTTGATAAATGCAGATTGGATCTCATTACTATACATGTTGGGACACTTTGGCGTGTTGTCCTTGTTGTCTTTTCCTGTTTTGTTTTATTTTTCAGAACATGGATGTTTACCTCTCATGGTGAATCAAAGACAGCTATCCTTTTCTTTTACGGCTGTACATTGCTCTGGGGTTACCCAACCTATCTCTTTTGGGTAAGACCTTCCAGTTCAAAATATTGATTTTTCCAAAATTGCAAAAAAAAAAAAAGAGAGAGAAAGACTACCTGCTGTGAAAGCCTTGATATCCTGAGATATCTTGAGAATTTACAATGAAGTCCTGTCAAATAATATGAAGTATGATACCTAGCCTTATATTATAGCTCCCCGTGTCACATGATTAATTAGAGGATTTCATCATAGTTATGATGTATGATACCTAGACTTATATTATAGCTTCCCATGTCACATGATTAATTAGGGGATTTCATCATAGACATAGAGGGTTGCGGTGGTACAGTGGGTTAAACTCTTGTGCCGGCTGGACTGCTGACCTGAAGATTGCTGGTTCAAATCAGTGAGACAAAGTGAGCTCCCATCTGTCAGCTCTAGCTTGCAGGGACATAAGAGAAACCTCCCAGCAGAATGGTAACACATCTGGGCATCCTCTGGGCAACATCTTTGTAGACAGCCAATTCTCTCACAGAAGAATTAATTTGCAATATGTTCTCAAGTCCTTTATAACATGATAAAAAATAGACGTTAAACTTTTGCTTTAAACATGGCTTTAAACAGTAAAAACATGGCTCTTTGATCAAGCCTTTGCAGAACCTATGCAATAGATAAATACAGAATTATGTGCAAGGAGTCTTGGAACGGTCTGGATTACTATTATGAATTGTGTGATTTAACAGTTATGATACTGGTTTAATATTTTAAATGTTCTGATGTCTTTAAATGTTTATTGTGATTTTACATTGTTTTTAATAGTATCGAATAGCTGCCTATGTTGGAAAGACGCCTTGAGTCCCCTCCAGGGTTGAGAAAAGTAGGGTAGAAATGGTGTAAATAAATAAATAAATACATTTATTTTAGATAAGGGAATATGCAGAAAAACATAAGACAAAGTAAGCTAGTAAGGGCACAGAGAAATATAGATTACTACAGATGTAGTCCAGAGCTACCCATACATTTGAAGAGAAAAAAGACATGAACTGTACAATTATGCCCTGATCCTTGTAGAATGACTAAAAAGCAAAGCCCATTAGTGTCCGTAAAACTACATTAAAGTAACATCACTTGGCTAGGAAGATACTGTTTTGAGTATTATAACCATACAGCTGAATCAATGCTGAATAATAATATACAAAATGGTTATTTCAGGCAAGTCTATTTCAAGTGTTTCTTGGCCAGCATCCCAGATTATAGGCAATTTCTCTTGCTTTCTAGAGAAGAAAAGAGTATCTGAAAAGACATCTTGAGCGGGTTTGATCTCTACTCACTCAGTAGTTTCACTCAGTGAAATGTAACCAATCTCACTTAATAGTGCTGTATTTTTTAGTATGACATCAGAGGGTTGCGTTTCATCAATAGCATGTAATTAAATTAAGAGACAGTCATCTTCTAAAAGCTTCTTTTTAGTCATGGTCAAACATCACACATGCTTGAGTTCCAGTTAACAGATAGATACTGTAGATAGATAGATTGATTGACTGATAGATAGCTTGATAGACAGACAGACAGACAGACAGACAGATAGCTAGATAGATAGACAGACAGACAGATATTATTATAAGAATATATTGGCACACTTTACATTATTGAATTTCATTGTATTTTGTAGTAGGACCAAAAGTAACCACTTTTACATCTTTACAGTTTTGATATGTATTTTAATTTCTTTAGTACAGTCAGCCCTCACATTTGCTGAGCTTAGGGATCCCCACAAAAGTCTAAAACCAGAAAGTAATAAAATTGCTCTTATTTTACATGAGACGATATCGCCTTAGGGATATCTAGTTGCTCCAGCTGGATGTTAATCATAGAATCATAGAGTTGGAAGAGACCTCTTAGACCATCCAGTCCAACCCCCTGCCAAGAAGCAGGAAAATTGCATTCAAAACACCCCTGACAGATGACCATCCAGCCTCAGTTTAAAAGAAGGAGCCTCCACCACACTCCAGAGCAGAGAGTTCCACTGCTCAACGGCTCTCACAGTTAGGAAGTTGTTCCTAATGTTCAGGTGGAATCTCCTTTCCTGTAGTCGTCGTGAAAGATTCCTAATAATAATAATAATAATAATAATAATAATAATAGTTTATTTTTACCCCGCCACCATCTCCCCAAGGGGACTCAGAGTGGCTTACATGAGCCCAAGCCCAACAACACATCAATAAAAACAACAAGCAATAAGCAAATAAATCAATACAATTAATATAACTCACATATAGACAATAACATGCAGAGATTTAAAAACCTATGGTCGGGCCAGATGTAATAGTTAAAAATTTAAAAATAAATGCTGAACAAGAGATTCAACTCCATGAATGATCAAATTCGCAAATATCAAATTTACAAATGTGGAGAGCCAACTGTAGTCCCATTTCTCACAAAACCTGAAATTTAAAAATAGTTGTCAATGAAAAAACAAGAAGTTGCCACAGAAAATAGAAATGCACTAGAATCATAGAATCAAAGAGTTGGAAGAGACCTCATGGGCCATCCAGTCCAGCCTCCTGCCAAGAAGCAGGAATATTGCATTCAAATCACTAGTAATCTCATGTTTATTTTCCTTTCTTCTAGCTACCTTGCCCCGCTCCATAGCCTCTCCACTGAATTGCTTTCCTAAATTATATTTCTAATCCTTTCTCTTAAAATTCTCCAACTGTCTGTCCCCAAACAATAGTGTGATTACTTCACATATCACTCAGTGAGGTGGTGCTTTTGCTGCTTTGATCTGATATGACTACAGGTCAATACACACATCAATATAGAAACATTATGGAAGCTACTTCCTTTTCACTCAATACCTTGCTGTTCCAGTGCTATATGTAGAAAGGAAACATGAAAGGGAGACTGAATTATGTAACTACTGGGAGTACTGATGCAGAAGGAATCCTATAAATTGCCATGCCCATATGGTTCTTTCATAAATATATTACTAGGAAAGCTATGTCGGTGCAGTTCACAGCCACTTCAACATACAAATGAATGTTATATCTTCACTTCAAAGCTAGTATATTATTAAATCCTCATTTTGAAGGTGGTGGTTCAATGTCCTCATGAAGCTATAGATACAACATTTGTCTTTATGTGCAGACTTAAAGTTAATAATTGGCAATGGTGGGCAACTGTTAGACAATGTGAACCAGCTCTGAGTCCCAGATTGCTGCTTTTGCTTCCTAGCACTAGTTTTGTCAAGAGAAAGGAAGCTGGGAAGGAATGAGTCCCAAGTCAGTTGGCCCACCCAGTTCTACTTTCTTAACTCTTACATTTTAAACCAGCTGCTCAGTTATGAACATGCAAGGTAATCTGTTTGTGTGTCTATCTTGTGTCAAGTGTATTATACACACACACTTTGGCATTTTTGAGCAGTGGTTCCAACCTGTGGTCCATGGACCATCAGTAGTCTGCAAGAACTAAAATATGGTTTATGGACTCACCGTTACTACACCATTGCAACAAGAGTGACTGGTCTTGCAAAACCCTCTTATAGTGCCAAGGCTTATTAAATATGGTTTTCTGTGGACAAGCAGATGGCAACTACTGGATGGCATATGTTCTGTATCAGATGTGGTCTATCCAATGCAATTTTCTAAAGCAGCACTCCAAATAACCAAACCGAATCTAAAGTTGACTAAAAACTGATTTGTAACCCTTTTGGCACTAATGTTGGAAAGTGGTTCCCTGGTCAAGTGGTCCCTTGTCAAAACAAGTTTGGGAACCACTTTCCTAGAGGATCTCAAGGTTATAAATATGCCCACACCATTCTAGATTGAGCATCAGATTATGTCAAGTTGCACAAAACGGTTTTACACTTTTACCTGTCTTCTGCATCAAAGTGATGACATTAATATATTTTCATTGTACAGATCATACCATTATCTTTTAATACAATGTGGTATGTTCATATTACCTTCCTCCTCGGCAATGCACTGATGTGGTTCTTCTTCTTAAGAGCTTCGATAATGAGTCCAGGTTTCCTTCCTCAAGACACAGATGAATATTTCAAGGTCATGAGACAGGTACATTTCTTATACACTTGATCCCTCCTGTCCATCCTCTTTTGCATGTAACACGTAATCATTTTCTTTGCAATGTCCACACACAAAATTGAATTAGTTTTGCTTAACTTATTATAATAAAATTAAATCAAAATTGTATGTATTATAATGGACACAGCTAGCAAAAAAAAAAAGATGATCTGGGAGCTAAGCAATTAGGAAAACAAAGGAGTATATAAGACCTGGCAATACTACCGTATATACACTTATCTTTGGGTAATCCAATTCATCTCAATGAAATATGTTTCTGATCAGGCATGTACAATATAGTATATAGTATAACACTGGGTGACTGACATTTTAAAATGTGTCTTGACTAAAAACAACTAAAAAGTAAAGCAATTTTATGCTATTTTAGTTGGGGAAAAATATTATGGTCCAGAACAGGAGAGTGCACCAGCCACAAGAGCCAGTTTGGATCACAATCTGGCAATTTTGAAACCTGGATTCCTAACAGAAACTAAATTTCAATTTTAAAATCCAAATCTTTGTACCTCACACTAGCAATAATAGGAGAATAAAAAAATTACTATATTGCTTGCTGATTTGAAAAATTTAATGAAATGTGGAGTTGGAAACTTTGCAAATAGCTTGTGGGCTCTTTGTACTGTTCATCGATAACCATTATTTTAAAAAGCTAGAACTGCCATTTTTTTTAATTTCTTGTCAAATTTCAGTGAAATTCTAACAAGAATTTGTCTGAGGTGAATAGGTATAGAAAGTTGTGTGCAAAAACAGCCTTTATTTTTTGTAATTTCTTTAAAAGGGGGCATTTATCCTCCAGCTATTTTTTTTGTTGTCACTGTTATTGTGCTGTGAAAGTGACATAAAGAATACATGTGGCTGTATGTACAAAACCAAGGAAAAAATTAAATAGGCACAGAGATTTGGTGAAAGGAAAACAATTGTTCCTCTTCTTACATCTCCCACCTTTTGTGGGTTTTGAATTGGGTTGCTTTGGGTTTTTTTAATAACTTTTATTATTAGTTTTCATGTAAAAATAAAATGTTTGGAAGAAAGGGAAGAAATAAAAGAGAGAGTTGTAAGATATAGAAAAAACAAAGAAAAGGGTAGTGGCTTCTAACTTTTTTCAAGAGTTATCCATATTGTTGTTGTGTGCCTGCCTAAACATAATATATTGATATCTCTCTTTCTTTTGTATACATTTCCTGGTAATCCAAACATAATTATCATCAAAATCAAATGTTATCAAGTCATTTTCTTATTTCTGCAAAATTTGTGAAATATTTTCAATTCTTTTAAAACGTCTCCAGCTATTTCTTTCAAATTAAAATCAATAATTGATCCATTTCACCTAAATCAGTCGATTTCAACAGCCATTCCCCTTGTGCAATATTAAATTTTCCCATCTTTATGCATATAGAAATCTTTCTGTTGTGGTCATATGTTGAATTAATGTCTTACGACTCTTTTCCAGCTGTTCATTAATAAGTTCTCAAAAGGAAATGTTTTGGTTTTAATGTTATATTATCTTTAAGACTGTCTGCTTCTGGATTGTACTGGCAATTCATATGAATGTCAGGTGTGTTAGAAGTCATAAGAAAGAAACCTAATAATTTTCAGAAGGATAGATAGAGAGAATAGGGAGTGCCCTGATTAGCTCATACATGCAGATTCAGTGCCTCCAATCTTCCGGTTTCGGAAAAAGTAGTTTATTGTTCTTCCTGTGACATTTGTCATGCATAATGTAAGTTCACCTTCAGATATTACAGTGGAAGCGAGAACAGCAGGGTTTTCAGAATCGAAGCTGCTTGTCAGAGGCAAAGTGCATAAAGAAAAACGTCACATCACTTCGGTCCAGTTCAATCATTAATTTTATATTCTGTCCTGGATATCATTTTTAAGGTGGATTCTCTTCATTGTTGGGAAGAGGGTGAACTCTTGTGGAGCAGACTGTGTCACAGATGCCATCTTGTGAAGCCTCTCCGAGCAAAACACTGTCATATTGTCAACCGCTGTGTGGCTGGCTTTGATCATTACTGCCCTTTTATCTACAACAATGTGGGATACAGGAACAGGTACAATATAGTGCTGTGTTTACAAAACTGCTTTGTCTTACTTACAAATCCTTAGTTGCTTTTTCATAGCGAAAGTATGATGACATTATTATTAAAAGACGGTACTCATAAAATTTCATAAACCACATAGATCACCGTGTCTTAGGATCACCACTGTCACTATCAATAAACAAAATCAAAATGATGGAAGAAGAAACGTATCAGCTGTCACATGACATGCTCAGATGTTGGGATTTTGTTTCTGCCTTAATTGCAAATAGCAGAATCAGCAATGTTACATCTACACATTGTAGATGTATCATTAGACATAACTACATTGGCAGAGCTCTGTTGTCATAGTTAGGGCCGTTTCAGGAAGAAGCAGCTGAAGAAAACTCTTGAAGTTCTGCTGCACTGCTTCTTTCAGACAGTCCTAAGACCAGGAGAGCATTGTAGATATCATTTCCCAGAACCTTGGAAAGCCCACCTTTGAAGCACTGCCTGGTTGGAAAAAGCAGAGACTATGGCTTCACAACACTAATTAATAATTGTAAAACGGAATCCCCAGCAAGTTCAAGATTGTAAGACCAGTAACTACAGTGACACTACAGTGACACTTTGACTTAAGAGTTTAATTCATTCTGTGATTGCGTTCTTAACTCAAAACATTCATATACATTCCAGCCTCCCTTCCTCTCTTGCTCTCTCCCCCTCTCTCTCTTCATGAAGCCAAACATACCAGGAATAAAAACCACACAAAATCAACTACCCCAAAGTCCTTTAAAGCACACAATAGCAAAGCAGACAGCAATCTCTCAAAGCGGACAAGAGCATGAGGCATGGAGGCACGAAAGCTGCTCACTTGAAGCCCTAAAGACCTGTACTCTGACAATAGCGGTCCTTCTGATGCTAGCTCTTAACTCAAAATGTTGTTCTTATGTCAAAGCAAAACCCAGGCCAAGTGACAGCTCTTAACTCAAAGCACTCTTACATTGGGGTGCTCTTAAATAGAAGTTCCACTGTACTGAATTGGATACCAGCTTAGGATAGTCTTCCAGGATCAGTATTCTTGTGGATCCGTAGGTGACTGTGGTGCCCTATTCTTGACCTGCATCTTCTCCCACAGTGAGGGCATTGGTTTCCAGGTGGTAGGCGGTCTCAGTTGGGGTTGGCTTGACACGCCTTCCTCTTAGCACGTTTCTCTCTTTCACCCTCCATTCTTGCCTCTTCAAATTCTGCAGCACTGCTGGTCACAGCTGACCTCCAGCTGGAGCGCTCAAGGGTCAGGGCTTCCCAGTTCTCCGTGTGTATACCAGAGTTTTTAAGGTTGGCTTTGAGTCCATCTTTAAATCTCTTTTCCTGTCCTCCAACATTCTGTTTTCCGTTCTTGAGTTCGGAGTAGAGCAACTGCTTTGAGAGACAGTGGTCGGGCATCCGGGCAACGTGGCCGGTCCAGCGGAGTTGATGGTGGAGGACCATTGCTTCAATGCTGGTGGTCTTTGCTTCTTCCAGCATGCTGACATTTGTCTGCTTGTCTTCCCAAGGGATTTGCAGGATTTTCCGGAGGCAGGACTGATGGAATCGTTCCAGGAGTTGCATGTGACGTCTGTAGACAGTCCACATTTCGCAGGCATATAGCAGGGTTGGGAAGACAATAGCTTTATAAACAAGCACCTTGGTATCCCTATGGATGTCCCGGTCCTCAAACACTCTCTGCTTCATTTGGAAAAATGCTGCACTCGCAGAGCTCAGGCAGTGTTGTAATTCGTTTTATATCATGCACTCAAGAGACAAAAATGAAGTAGACTTTAATAAAAAAAATAACATATTTCATTTCCTCACAACCTTCATGTGTTCAGCATACACAGGTACAAAAGTTATCAGTCCAGTTTCAGATATGTTTGAAATCATTTTCTGTGCCATCCAGCTAAGGCATCTCTCTTATAACAAAACAGCTATCAACAGGTCACGTAGTCAAAAGGAGAGAGAGAAAAAGAACACGAGGTCTGGAGCCCCTTTCATAACTTCTCAGGAACCATAGAATAAAGAAAGCTGTATACCAGAACGTGCATACAGGAAACAGTAAGCAACAGGATCATAGATAAACATTACTACAGAAGGCTTGAAGAAGGTTGTCCTTTACAACAATAATGTCACCAGTTTATGTGTTGTAAGAACCTTACTTAGTTTTTGTTTTATTTTATTCTAGGCCATATTTTGTAGGTTTCCTCGCTACTATGTGCCTGAACTCTCTAGCTGGGATAAATCTGTGCTGGAACTGGTTTCATGTCATGGGACGTAGCATTTTCATTGGGACTGGATTTCTCTTTCTTTGCATCATTGCAGCGATTTCAGCAATCATGACATCCATGTGTGTAAGTCAATTTGTAAGCTGAAATTAAAAGATATTTTAGAGACTGTTCTTTTGAACTCTCTTATGCTCTCTTGTGGAGATATGCTGAAATTGCTCAGTTTGAAATGCAGACATCATCTACATCTACCATTCCGTGTGTCTTTACATGACATGTTTATATACTGCCAATAAATTTGATTATTAATAATGAATTAAATGTTTCAAATGCACATTCCCTCACATCACTGGCTTTGTCATGAAAACAAGACTCTTTCCTTTTTCTCAGTAACACAAGATGTTAAAAAGTGGTACCAGGACCTGAATTTAGATAGAAACACTATTGCCCTCTACTGTTTCTTTCCTGAAAATCATAACATTAAAAATCAATTATTCAGTGGGATTTTAGTGCATTTTTAATGACGAAGTGAGATATTAAATACCGCCAAGAATATTAATACAAACTATAAAACATATAAAGCCACGGGGAACTTTACTAGAAACACAATTCAGTTGTTTTACTGTAAAGTGCCATGGACATTTGAAGGCCCTACAGAAATAAACAACAACAACAACAACAACAACAACAATAATAATAACTTTATTTTTGTATTCCGCTTCCATCTCCCCGAATGGACTCAGGACAGCTTACATGGGGACAAGCTCAATCAACATATTTAAAATATAACATTAAAATTCATAAACAGCATCATAAAACAATACAAAACAAACAACAACATAACACAGTATAAAAACAACAATTGAGCAAAATATATACTAACTGGAGCGGGAGGCAGGGAGCACACAACGCCCTTGCTGTCCCAGCTCCACTGGCTGCCGATTTGCTACCGGACCCAATTTAAGGTGCTGGTTTTGGCCTACAAAGCCCTAAACGGTTCCGGCCCAAAATACCTTTCTGACCGCATCTTGGCCTACGAGCCCACGAGGACCTTGAGATCGTCTGGGGAGGCCCTTCTCTCGGTCCCGCCGGCATCACAGGCACGGCTGGCGGGGACGAGGGAGAGGGCCTTCTCGGTGGTGGCCCCCCGGCTGTGGAACACCCTCCCGACACACATCAGACAGGCGCCCTCCCTCATGTCCTTTCGGAAAACCCTTAAGACCTGGTTGTTTGAGAGGGCATTTAATTAAGTGCTAAGCACAAATAATACGGTAATGAGAACTGGAATGGCACAAGGATGATGAGATTGGTTATGATTCCATTAAGAGACGAAGCGGATTTTTGTGTAGTCTGTAAGTTGTGGTATAGTTATATGTTGTCGATTCCGGTTTTGTAATTTGTCTTTTATGTGTACTGTACACCGCCATGAGTCGCCCGTAAGGGCTGAGAATGGCGGTCAATAAGTGCATCAAATAAATAAATAAAATAAATATATGGCGAAAGCGACCTGAATACAAAACTGCTTATAATGAGCTATGAAGTAAATGCTGTTTAAACATGACCTTCCATTTAGTTAATACTCTCAAGTATAAATCAATCTCATTGGATATAAGGTGCCAGATAAGTGTATCAGAGATAAAAAGAATTAAAACCACTAAAAAGAATAAGAAATAACAACAACAAACAGAAGGCCTTCTACAGGGACTCTCCAGAAGATGTTGAAAGAAAATCAGAATCTCTTCTTGGAAAGATTTCATGATATGGACAGGCTCATATATGAAGGCATAATCATTCAAACGATTGCATTCACAATCATCATCATCATCTTTATATTCCGCCACCTCTCCACAAGGACTCAGAGCGGTTCACAACAGAATCAAGTCATAAGACATACATAAGCATAAATTTAAAAAGATAAGACATCATATAGAAATCATGATGCAGTATGTTATATGTGTAATAATTATCCTCATGAACCCCAATACAAGAGAACAATGCCTTCTTGGGGAAGTATAAAAAACTAGGAAAGTACTGAAAAGGTTAGTTTTTTGGATAGGAATCCTGTTGGCATCTTATTCATAAATTCCCTTAGAGAAATGCAACATCCTCATTTAGTTCAATGTCATGGGAAAAAAGCATATATGCATATGTAGATGCACATTCCTAGCCAATTTGTATCCATCTATCTTTTTTATATCAGCAGTAGTTCATACTCAGTTGTGCATTTGCTTCTATACATTTTTCCTTCTTTCAGTATATACTCAAACACTTATTAACAGCTCTCCATGCAGTCATACTGGCCACATTACCTTGGCGGTATCTACGGACAACACAGGCTCTTCGACTTAGAAATGGAGATGTGCACCAACCCCTAGAGTCAGACACAACTAGACTTAATATCAGGGGAAACCTTTACCTTTACCAGGTTTAGCATTGCCACCTATTGCCACTGATACCAGATTTCGAAACAGCAATATGGGACAGTCAAAATTCATGGTGTCTGCATTCATAAAATATAAAATGTGCACATTTGTATGTTTATGAAGGTCCCACATTAAAAGGGCCCCTGGTGGCAAAGCAAGTTAAACTGCTGAGCTGCTGAACTTGCTGCCTGAAAGGTCGGCGGTTCAAATCCAGGGAGCAGGGTGAGCTCCTGCTGTAAGGCCCAGCTATTGCCAACCTAGCAGTTTGAAAACATGGAAATGTGAGTCAATCAATAGATACCGCTTCGGCAGGAAGGTAACGGCGCTCCAGGTAGTCATGCCAGCCACATGACCTTGGAGGTGTCTATGGACAACACTGGCTCTTTGGCTTGGAAATGGAAACCTGAGTCAGACACAACTAGACTTAATGTTGAAGTGAAACTTTTACCTTTACCTTACCCACATTAAAAATGCAGGATTTTGGCATTTTAGTTGGTCTATATAAATAGTATAATTTTCCAACCTTCAAAAAAGGGACATCTCTTATAATAAGGGACAGCTGCCACTCTGATAACGGACAAGCACTCCAGACCTCAAGTAAGGGTCATCTGTCATCAAAAGGAATGCCTGTTAAGGTTTCACAGTATCTGTACATGCAAAAAATTCACAATTTCACAGTTTGGTTGGTTGGCATCAGTCTTATTTGGTGTAACATGGCTTGTGATAATGCTCAGAGTAGCAGTGCAAATCACATTGAAACCCTGAAAGTTAATACACCTATTTTACTTATAAAGGTTTATATGGCTGCAGTCAACTTAACTACCACAGAGTGTCTGAAACCTGCTAAATGTACTTATCTTCTGAACAATCAAGGACAATTCTTCAATCCGTTTGATAGAGGAATTATACTGAACATCATGGAATTCCTCAACGTCATCAAGCCTCTAACTGAGAATGGACCGAAAAGAGCGGAGATGACATCAGTCTGAGAACAAAGGACTTATCTGCAATACCAGGACATTCAGATGTATCTCACTTGCTCCTTTACTAATGAAACTGTTGGTATTTGGTGTGAGCCATTTTGGAGGATACCCTGTCTTCAGTAAATGAGGGGGAAATTATGAGCATTTTTTTTATTGTTAATTGCCATCAAGACAAGTTTGATGTATGGTGACCCTGTGATTGAGAGACCCACAAGTCACGCTGCTATAAGATTTTGCAAATTCAGGGCTGCAGCTTTTTTGATCGAGTCCATCCATCTGTAAAGTTATTTCCTTCTTTTCCTACTGCCTTCTATGGCCCCATCTACACTGCCATATAATCCGGTTTCTGAATCCAGATTATCTGCTTTGAACTGGATTTTATGGGAGTGTAGACTCACATAATCCAGTTCAAAGCAGATAATCTGGATTCAAAAACTGGATTATATGGCAGTGTAGATCCAAGTTACCATTCGTATCCTGCTGATGAGCTCCAGGCGCAAATTTGTTTGGCTTCTGTTGGAACAAAACATTGGACTAGATAGTTTTTTCATCTGATCCAGCACTGCCATTCTTATTTTCCTATTGTGTGTCTTTATAACTATAACAATTACATTCTTGTAAGTCAAATGTGTCAGAAATATTAAAAATTAACTAGGTATTTTTAATTACAAAAATGTGAGTCAAGCACTGAAAGGCTTAAATGGATGCAATGACTCAGCAAAAACTGCAGTTCAATATAAGCAGGTGTACCTGTAACTTAGTACGGCTCAGTGTTGGATGCCCTCAGTATGAAGAGGCTTCAATCTAAGAAAGTCCTCAGTCTGAGAGAGGCCTCAGTGTGAGGTAAACCTCAGAGTTAGTAAGCCTCAGTGTTAAAGAGGCCTGGTGTGAAAAGGCTTTGGTGAAAGAAGCCCTAGGTTAAAGGTTTTGTGTGTAAAGCTCCAGTGTGAAGGCTGCTGTGTGTAAAAAAAAACTACTGTGTGTAAAAAACTGATGTGTAAAAAGCTACTGTGTGAAGCTCCTGTGTAAGTTAGGTGTAAGAAGAGGCTCTGTGAGAGCGAAGTTGTTTATCTACATGAGAAAGAAGCCCAGGAAAGAAGAAAGTGTAAAGGACTTTATTTGTGTAATGGAAACCTTGTTCTTGTAAATAGTGCAACCAGAATATTTTACTATAAAGAAAAGCCTCCTATGGAAGAGATAACATTGGTCTCTGTGTTTGTGTCCTTTTTATCACTGGTGCTGGATCACGCTGCTGCTGATAAGTTACTCTGCTAGATTTATGAGGAGGGTCTTTTGTTATGAAGCCCACTTGCCAACAGAATGTACCCCGTTGCCTAATGGAAGCTTTTCCATATGCGTGGAATAGAAGAGACCCCGGAACGTGTCTCAATAGTTAGATATATGGATGAAGGAAACTGGGACTTTTCTGCACTTCTCCCTGCCAATAAATAAATCATTTAAATGATTTATTTTTAAAATGTCATCTTTCAGGCATGGATGTTGCACAGCTGTCAAACTAGTCATAATTGAAAACAATGATTATCCTATAGCAATTGCAGCCATCTGCCCTTCGGGAGGAAAACCCCTACACAACACATAGTTAGAATTAGTGAAGGAAAAGGCAGATGCCAGCAATAAGAAATCCATTATGAAGTTAATTAGCCAGCACACAAGCCACAAACCCAAAAACATAAGATTTGTTTATCCTGCGTAATTTGAATTGGGTTTATTTCTTTATTCACAGTTGTAGAAAAAGGGCAGCACAGTTTGAGCATCCCTTTTCCGAAATTGCAAAATCCAAAATACTCCTAAATATAAAATTGTCTACATGGGTAGCTGAGATGGTGGCACCTTTTCTTTCTGATGGTTCAGTGTACACACATGTTGCCTCATCCACAACATTATGAAAACATTGTATACATTTACCTTCAGGCTATGTATATAAGGTATATATGAAATATACATGAACTTCACGTTTTGGTTTAGGTCCCATGTACAAGACCCATTTTTCTCTTCTGAAGTAATGAAATGTTTTTCTTTCTTTTTCTCTTCTCCCCCCTCTCTCCTCATTTCCCTACTTCCCTTCTCCCCAACGCTAAACCCATATACTCTTTTAATTATATTACACGCTGATGATTAACGACCCTTCAGATGTACCCTCTAAAACCCTCAATTATTTATTTTATATATATATATATATATATATATATATGACTGATGAATAGCCATTCAAATAGATATTCCAATTGTATTGCATGGTATGCAATTTATATCTAAAACCTGGATAGGATACCATTAATATTTTTAAAAGAAAATATTACTGTTCAACACTAGGTGGCAATGGCTTACCTTTAAAAAATATAAAGTTGTACACATGAATGTAAGAATTATTATCAAATAAAGGAGTAGCTTTCTTTTTTTTTACATGTAGTAATGATTTTACAGTCAACTTTGATTAGAAATGTGTGATCTTATGCCAATTCACTAAAGTCATACATATTGTTCCTATACATCAGTGGTTCTCAACTTCCCTAATGCCGCGACCCCTTAATACTGTTCCTCATGTTGTGGTGACCCCCAACCATAAAATTATTTTCATTGCTACTTCATAACTGTAGTTTTGTTACTGTCATGAATCATAATGTAAATATGTGATATGCAGGATATATTTTCATTCACTGGACAAAATTTGGCACAAATGCCCGATACCTCCAAATCTGAATACTGGTGGGGTTGCGGGGGGGGGGGGGGGGGGGGGGGGGGTGTTGATTTTGTCATTTGAAAGTTGTAGTTGCTAGAATTTATAGTTCACCTGCAATCAAAGAGCATTCTGAACCCCACCTACAATTGGAGTTGTAGTTGACCTATATGCAGAGAGCACTCTGAACTCAAACAATGATGGATCTGGACCAAACTTGGCATGAATACCCAATTTGCCTAAATGTGAACACTGGTGGAGTTTGGGGAAAACAGACCTTGACATTTGGGAGTTGTAATTCCGGGGATTTATAGTTCAGCTACAATCAAAGAGCATTCCGAACCCTGCCAACAATAGAATTGGGCCAAACTTTCCACACAGAACCCCCATGACCAACAGAAAATACTGTGTTTTCTGATGGTCTTTGGAGTCCCCTCTGACACCCCCTTTTGACGACCCCCCCCCCCCCAGAGTCCTGACCCTCAGGTTGAGAAACACCGCTCTATATGTTTAGCCTGAAAATAATTGCACTGAATTGATATGATTGTATCCCTGTATCTGTGTGACGGACTGTGGCCCAACAGCACAATTATATGAATATTTACTCAAAAGTAAGTTCATTGGGTGGTTCCTTTCCAATAAGCTTGCATAGAATTTCCTCTGTTTGGTGCAGCAGTAAATCTTTTGGAATGTAATGGTTTGAGTGTACTCTGTCAATTGTATATAAAATAATATTATAATATAGAACTGAAGCCTTCGTAATTTTGTGGATCCTTCAAAAAAGTAAACAGAGTAAATGAGACAGTAAAATCTCACTTGCTTTTTCTACGCTATCATATAAATCAATAGAGACTTTCACGTACAGATTTTTCCTAAAGGATTCATCAATGAAGAGTCAGAATAAAATGGTCTTGATTGAGAAAGAGAAATTGTAACATGATATCAATAACATGGAAAAAATGTGTCGAGGAAAATGTATATACAGTATTAAAACATCTTGGCTCTTTAGCAGTGGTTCCCAACCGGTAAGCTGCGAGATTTAAAATCAGGTGCCTGAGACATGCGGATAATAACACAGTCCAACCAAAAAAATATTTTTGTGTATGTTTTTAGGCCTGTTTCTGGGGTTATTGGGGTGCCAATTTAGAAAATTGCACTGGATAGACATCATCAGCTCTAGATTATTAAATATGGGGTTTTTTTGTAGGCAAGCAGATGGCAACTACTGAATGTCATATGCTCTGTATCAGTAACTAGAGCTGATGTGGTCTATCTAATACAATTTTCTGAATCTACACCCCAAATAACAAAACTGAATCTAAAGTTGACCAAAAACTGATTTGTAACCCTTTTGGTACTAATGTTGGAGAGTGGTCTCTGGTAAAAGTGATCCCTGGTCAAAAAAAGATTGGGAACCACTGCTCTATCGTCTAAGCTAGAAGAGAAAAGGATGACTGTTGGACCAGGACTCATATTTTCTCCTTTAAATAAGTTGTAGTATCCTCTCCTGCAGTGTTTTAACATAATCATAGAATAATAAATCATAGAGTTGGAAAGAGACCACATGGGCCATCTAGTCCCTGCCATGCAGAAAAAGGACAATCAAAGAACCCCTGACAAATGGCCATCCAGCCTCTGTTTAAAAGCCTCCAACGAAGGAGCTTCCACCACACTTTGTGGCAGAGAGTTCCACTGCTGAACAGCTCTTAAAGTCAAGAAGTTCTTCCTAATGTTCAGGTGGACTCTCCTTTCCTGTACTTTGAACCCATTGCTCCGAGTCCACAAAAATACTACTTTCCTAACAACAGTAGATTTCCAGTCATTTCCGGTTTTTCTTCTTTATTTGTGTCTCCATTTTAATTCATTTTGGCATGTGTGTGGTCCGAGAATATCCAAGAGGCACAACATTGTTGCACAGACCAGGGAGGTTGCCCATCTCTTACATTTCCTATCTTACTTGGCAAAGCATTCAGGACTAGGATTCAGATTTGGATCAAGGCTGCACAAGAGAAGTCCACAGAGCTATGAGACTGGGTTGCTGTGAGTTTTCCGGGCTGTATGGCCATGTTCCAGAAGCATTCTCTCCTGACGTTTCACCCACAACGATGACAGCATCCTCAGAGGTGGTGAAAAACCTCACAACCTCTCAAGGTGCTTGCCATAGATATGAGCGAAACATCAGGAGATAATGCTTCTGGAACATGGCCATACAGCCCGGAAAACTCACAGCAAACCAGGGATTCCAGCCATGAAAGCCTTCAACAACAGCTATGGGGCTGATTGGCACAATTTATGAGTCATGATTAGTAAACTGTTGGCTCAGTCTCCCTCCAACATTTCACAGATAACATGAAAAGGCATGTTGTCTTAGGGAAAATATGTTTGCTGAAACATGTTTACCTGTTATTCTCTTTTGTGATGTCGGAACTACTCCTATTCTTTCCATATTCTCTGTCTCTGGCACTTAAGTTGGGCTTAAGTCGAATTTATATGTAAGTCAGAACAGGTGTAATTTTTAAGTGTAACTCCAGCCACAAATATTTATTTTGCACCTTTGGGTAACATAGGGAAGGATAATACCCCTGTGGTGTTTGCTTTGCTTTGATATCACTTCACTTTCTGCTCCTGTGATTGGATTTT